GTTTTGATTTGGGAGTCCTGGTGTGGCGCTATTGGCCAACGCGTCAGATTGCAAAGTCGTTTGAACTGCAAGGTCTGTAGTTCATGTTTATCACCTGCTCCTTGGAAACCCAATACAGGGTCGCTATGGGTCGGAATCGACTCGACAGCACGTAACAACAACAACAACGACTAATGGAAGGAGCTCTGGTAGCGAAGTGGTTACAAATCGGGCTGCTAATCTCACGGTCAGCAGTTCGAAACTACCAGCAGGTCCACAGGAGAAACATGAGGCTTTCTGCTCCCATAAAGATTTACAGCCTCAGAAACCTTATACAGGGTCACTATGAGTTGGAATCGATGCCACAGCACATAACCACCACCACCAGTAACTGTTAGTTTAGTTGTGAGGATTTTAGTTTTCTTCATATTTAGGCACAATCCGCACGAAATGTTGTAGTCTTTGACCTTCATCAAAAGTACTTAAAGTCATCTTTGTTTTTGTTAAGCAAGGTTGTGTCATCTGCATATTGTACATTATTTAATGAATCTTTCTGCTTTCCTGATTCTCCATTCTCTTCTTATTGTCCAGCTTTACAGATTATTTGTTCAGCATACAAATGGAATAAATGAAGGATATAATGCAGCCATTCACACATATTCACTTTTTTTCTTTGAACCTAGATTTCTGCTTCGTTTTTATTTATTTATTTTTAATACATTTATTTTTTTAATAAATTTTAAATTTATTGTGAATTGAGTGATAGTTTACATGGGAGAGCATCAGCTTTACATTCATCCTATCATATTTCATTTCATTGCAATGATTACATCCCCTTCATGCATCATCAAACAATCAAAGAGTACACCACATAAGCCTTCCCCTTGGTCTTCAGCACACAGCTCCTTTCCCTTCCTGTGTCCAGAGTCCCCAGCCGCTCCATCTCTGCACGTTATCATCTCTGCCTCCATCTCTGGTGTCACTATTTCTCTGCGTAGGGACCTGCACTCCGTTCTTCTCCCCTGATGGTCCCAGGGTCCTCCGCTCCTGGACTGCAAAATCAACTACTCATCTCCTTTTGTTACAAAATGTCTACCTTTACATTTCCAACTCTCACAGTCAGTCGTGATAGCAATTATTCACTATTAAACCACAAGAGTCTTATCCCCATCTCCTTTTATCAGCCCTATCCAGACAGGTTGGAAACCACTCAGTGGAGAGTCTACCTTCCTCCTCACCCTCTGGAATTAGGCTCCCTCTTGAAAGCTTATAAGCCAGTCACTTTGTGCCTTTGTGACCCCACCCCCAACCCATTTTGGGTAGCCAATGTCGAATTTGCCTATCCCTGTCATCCCTGTGTACCGAGGGGTGAGTGGATGGGAATGATCCTCACTGTGAAAATTTGTTCCCTCTTTTGAGGTACTACATCCATAAGTATAGGTCACATTCATCAAATCATAGCAGATTACTTTTTTTTCCTCATCTTTCTTCTTCTAGTCAAGTTCTGATCATCCAGCCATTGAAGCCAGGTCAAGTGGATACTATCTGCAACAGTGGGTGTTCTTGTGCATCTCCCCTCACTTCATATCCTCTGGATGCTTCACTCTCCACTCTACTCCTCTGTGGCCATGTCCCTGTCCCTAGGCCCAGGAATCTCCAGGTCTCACCATACTGCTGGCCAACCAGGTCTCAACCCAGGTTGACAGGAGTCTATTGAATGTGGTTGGGCTTAGCTCACAACTTCATTGCTGTTTTACCCCTCACTTCCCCTTATTGGTAGACCAGCGTGGTCACCAGCAAGCTCACATGCCTGCTCGTGTACTCCCCTTGAGTCTCAGTCTTGGAAGGGAGTTTGCCCTGAGGGGACTTGACTGCTTGCCATGATGGCTCCTGTGCAAACGACTTGCTTGTTCTTGAAGTAGTCAGTCAGACTGCCATTATTGTTTTGAATTTTTCCTGTTGGTCTTTCTTTCAAGAAGCATCTTCTGTTCTTCTAGCTGCTACAGGCTGGTCTACTTGTCCTTTCAAGTGGAAATTTCCCACCTCAGAAGATTCTGGATGGGGTTCAGGATTCCACCTATGGTTTTATGTAATGCAAAGGCTCCGCAGGAAGCCTCCTTCACTGGGCATGTTGTAGCCCCATTTTAGATATTCTGATCAGTTACAGACTGAAGACAGACTTACATGCTTTCTATGGTGCTGTTTCTGGCTCTTCCTTTCTCTCTGCCTCAAGTGTCTACTCTACAACAGTAGGCAAGAGAAACCAAGATTCATAGGACAGCCAGGCACCTTAACGTTGTTTCCCTCTTTTACCCCTTCAAACCATGCCTCAATCCCTGTGTCCCGGAGCCCTGTTGTTCCAAGGTTGAGCATATATCGTTATTCACCTCTGTCTCACTTAGCTCATGCAACCCTGCCTAAATGTTCTCCCATCCACCTTGTTCTTCCATTCCCCTCCCCCTTCATGTGTATTGTCCCACTCCCCCCAGCACCCAAAATATCCTGTGTCTATTCTCTATCCTGTGCTCGACCATCCTTTCCCTCCCCTTCACCCCACCCCCTAGAACCTGGTAACCAACAAAGGAAAAAAAAATTTTTTTCCCTTTTAGTATGAGTACTTTTTCTTCAGCTTTTACAATAATGGTCTTATGCAGTATTTCTCCTTTTGTGACTAACTAATTTCACTCAACATAATGCCCTCAAGGTTCATCCATGTTATGTGGTGGCTTGCAGCTTCCTTGTTATGCTTCAAGGTGGCATAATATTCCATTGTGTGTGTATGTACCACAGTTTGTTTATCCATTCTTCCATTGATGGACATTTAGGTTGTGTCCATATTTTTGCTATTGTAAATAGTGCTGCTATGAACATTGATGTGCATATATCTACTCATGTTATGGCTCGTATTTCTTGTGGATAAATACCAAGTAGAGGAATTGCTGTCACAGTATGAAGTAGTTAATGAAATTAGGAGAAAGGTGAACATCATAGGCATGTACTCATACTCTATTTCTTTATCAAAGTTTTATTATTTGATTTGTTGGTTAAGCCTATGAAATTGCTGTTTTTGTAGGTGAAAAGTGACAATGTTTGCAATTTTAGATGGGTTAGTGTAGTGCTAGTGGATTATCAGTAAGTTCAAAGTCAAAAGGAAGATTGTATTGTAGACAGCTGACTCTTGAACAACATGGGGCTATGGGAGTTGACCTTCCTGTGCAGTTGAAAATTTGTGGGTTACTTTTCACTCCCACAAAAGGTAACTACTAATAGTCTACTTTTGCTGGGAAATCTTCCCAAGAACATAAACAGTCAATTAGCACATTCTGTTATATGTATTATATACTATACCAGCAAAAGTTGCATTTTCATTATACAATAGAAAGGTATTTTGCAAAAAGTGCAACGTTTTCACCTGCTGCTGTAGCTTTAGCTACCACTTTGTAAATTTCCTTTTCTTTTTTAAACAATGGTCCTTATGGTAGATTCATGTATTCTGAAATGAGTATATGGGTTTGGGTAACAGCTTAGGACTTCAATCTACGGTACTTATCAAACAATTCAACAGTTCATTGTAATGCCGTGACTGTTCTCTGCTTCTTGGGAGCACTTCCAGCATCACTAGTGGCACTTTGTATGCGTCCCATGGTGTTACTCAGTGTTTACATGTGAGAACCACAAGAGATCATTTTTTACTGTGAAACAAAATTTACTGGAGAGATGAACTGCTCACATGGCGATGATCATTGTCACACAGCATTTAAAAAAATCTATGCATAAATGGGTACATGCAGTTCAAACCTTTGTTGTTCAGGGGTCACCTGTGTAGAAAAAGCTCCCTACTTTAAAGGTTCATAGGATAGTGCACAATTTCTTTTTCTCCTCTAGTGCTTTATGTATAATATTAACTGTGAGATAGAGCCCAGGTGTGGCTTTGTAAGGTAAGCACTGGCCTACTAACAGCAAGGGCGGCAGGTCAAACCCACAAGACCTTCTTAGAAACCCTACGAGTTAGAACTGACTTGATGGCACACAGTAGTGGAAGTTACACAGTGTGGCATTTTTATGCAGTGCAATAAAAAGGAACAAACTGTTGATGCATGCAACAAGATGAATAAATCTCAAACTCAATATCTTAATTGAAGGAAACCAAGCAAAATGGAGTACATACTGTATAAAGCATGGTGTCGAATCTCCCAGGCTCACTTCAGGAGTGAGGTGGATAATCACCAACAGCATCAACCCAACGTTGATCCCCATGAGATGAAGACCAGATATAACCTCCAGCCTCCAATCTTTTTTTGTTGTTGTCAATTCTGATGCCAGCTGCCCCTCCCATAATGCTCTGTACTACTCTGTTGGCTTTGATATTCCTTGCAAGTTTCTTGTCTTTAAAGGTAGGGCAACGTTTGCATCACAGGATCAGTGATGGTAATGAAAGTGATTTGTAAAATGAGAAGTACTAAATGTGTAATGAATAAGACCCCCAAAGAGATGGCTTGAATACAACAATTGTGAGGATGGCACACAACAGGCATTGTTTTGTTCTGTTGTACATGGGGTTGCTGTGAGTCACTGCTCACTCAGTGGCACTTACAACAACAATACGTAGACAAGTTTTTTTTCACCATGAGAATTTGTGACTTGCATATTTGATTTCCTATTTCTAATCTTTCCACTTTGATATAAGAAAGTTACTATTTTTTTCTTTAGGAGTAAGGTCCTTATTTGGAAATAATTTGAAAACTAGTTCTTAAAAGTGGAAGATGAGTTTTGTAGGTAGTGGTGGTGGTGGTGGTGTTCTCCCATGGAGTCACTCCCAACCATAACGTTACATAGGGTTTCTGAGGCTATGAATGTTTACGGGAGCAGAAAGCCTCATTTTTCTTCTGTGTAACAGCTAGCAAGTTGGAACTGCTGACCTTGAGGTTGGCAGCCTGACTCATACGTAACCATTGCGCTACCAGAGCTCCTGTAACAATTGAGATAAATGCATGAAGTAATTGTCTTCTTTCTCTTTTCAGGCAATTACTGTCTTAACTGAATTAATTAGGGAAAACTTCAGGAACAGCAAATTAAAGCAGTGCCTTTTACCAACCCTTGGGGAGCTGATCTATCTTGTAGCCACCCAGGTAAGACTGTTTGATGAACTCTGGTGCTGTGTGACATGTTCTGACATAACCTGACTGACAAGTATTAATGTCCTATAAAGTTTTTTGCCTCTGTCCCTCAGAGCATGCCTAAGAACTTAGGAGAAAGTTAACCTCTCGGGGGGAGAGTCAATCAGTGTCTCTCCTACTTTCTCTCTCTGTGTCACTCTGTCCATCTTTCTTCCTCTGTCCCTTATTCCCTCCCTCCTAGTGCCTCATGTTCGTTAAGGTATAGGAAATTATCAGTACTTATTTTAAAACCAATGAACAAAAATGGCCTCAAAGTACCACCTAAGTTGCTACCATCTTTGATTCCTTCAAACAAGAGAAAGCCATTGGTTCTCTCAGTATAACAGTTTCCTATCAATAATGTGAAATTTCATGCCAATGTATCTTTAAATGTGACTATGAGAATTTGTGATTCGAATATTTGATTTCTTATTTCTAAAGTAACAGTATGGAAGTTACACTTGAATTCAATAGGGAAAAGCTAAGCTTTTCATTAAATGTGTTTTGAAAGAATACTATTAGAATAAATAATGATAAATGATGGGATATTTATCTGATGCCATACTTTAGGAGAATTTAAAAATCAGTACTGATAATGTGCTAGACTGCAAAGTCAGTTTGAACCTCAAGGTCGGCAGTTCAAGCTCACTAACTGCTCCTCAAAAACCCTATACAGGGTCACTGTGGGTCAGAACCCACTCAACAACCTTTAACAACAACAACTGATCATTTATAAGTTAATCAGATGTTTTCTTGTTGAATCTAAGTTTTCAATTCTAGAACTTGTTTGAATGCTGTATGGCCTCAATATTCTTAATATCTAAATTAAACTAACTTTGTGGCCAATATCATTGTAAGGCAACTACCATAATTGTTATTAAGCATAAGTATTTTAAATAATAATAGCTTCATAGTTAACATTGATGACTGATACAGCAAATTTCTCCTCCTCCTCTTCTTCTTCAAATATGCCTTGGCTATTTGTGACTAATCTTATGTCAGAATAAATTTTAGAGTCAGCGTATGCAGTTTGCAAAATACCCTGCTTTAAAAATATTTTTTTAACTTCATTTACTATGCATTTCAATTTGGGAACAACTGATGTTTGTATAATATTGAGCCTTGTAATACTTATTGGAATTGTTCTAAATGTGTATATCAATTGGGAAAGCATTGATATCTTTTTAATTAGGTTCTCCCATGAATGAAAAATGGTGTTATCCTCTATATTGTTTTACATGTGCTTTTAAGTCATTTTATTTATAAAATTCTTGTACATTTATCTTGGGTTGGATTTATTTTTTGGTAATTTTATATTTTGAAGCAATAATACATTCATTCACTAGGCTAGAAAGCTAGGAAATAAACAAAAATATATAGGGAAGTCTCTTTCCTATTTTTGTCCAACATCTGCTTACTTTTCTCCATAAATAACCACTTTAATTTCTTTTTTACTTATATATTATAGTTTTATATATACATATAAATATATAGCAATATAGATTCCTATTTTGTCTAATTTTATTCAACAGGTTACAACTTATTTTTCCTCACTTAATAGTGTAACTTGGTGTTTCTTAACCAGTCCATGTAGCTTCTACCGCCTCCATTCTTCCCTCCTCCTTTTCCTTTCCTTTTTATGTAATGGAGCATTCGTTTGTGTGATGTACATTGTATACCATGTTTTGAGAAAGTTAGTTTTCTTGTAGTTCCTTGGAGGTAAGATTGTTGGAAAATTGATTTCTTCTATACCTTTTCCCTGGGTCCTCCCCTCAAGACCTCAGCATCAAGATTTGTTGTAGGAGAGAAAAGAGGCACCATCTTCATATACATATTATGGTGACTCTTTATTAAGTCTTCAACAGGAGTAAAAACAAAACAACACAGATTACTCAGTGAGGGCAATTGCCCTTATGCTGCCTTGATGAATTTCCAAAGTTCTACTTCTGTGTGGTGGAGCACAGAGAACAAAGGAATCTCCTCCCACAACCATGCCTGATGGCCTCAATGTGTCACATATGCCTGCCTGGGGCTACAGAAGCAGGGAGGGGACTGTTGCAGCTAGGACAGCTTATAGACTGTCTTTTTACTCTTGGGGTGTGACATCACATCCAGTCCTCAGATGGCATGTCTAGCATTGCTCCTACAACAAACTTTCTGTTCTTCCTGTGATGCCTGAAGGAAGCAGCCCAAAAACTTACTTTCAAATACACTCTGTTTCCAGTTATGGCAGTTCAGACATCCTCCAGAGGTGCAGGAAGTGATGAAAAAAAATTGACATCTGAACACTTAAACCGACATCTTAAACCGACGTACATAAGATGGAACTAAGTTCTGCTTGACTGAAGTCATTTGCAGGCCAAAAGCCTTCATGTTTTAACTCTAAAATAAAGCAGGCCCTCAAGATGAAACCAAGGTCCTTCTACCTTTCTGTGCTCACATATATATATTTAAGTTTATGTCTCTATGCATGTATATTATATATATATACACATGTATGTATATGGTGGTGGTGGTGGTGATGGTGTGCCGTGGAGTCAGTTCTGACTCATAGTGACCCTATACAGGGTTTCTGAGGCTGTAAATCTTTATGGGAGCAGAAAGCCTCATCTTTCTTCCATGGAACAGCTGGTAGTTTTGAACTGATGACCTTGAGATTAGCAGCCCAATTGGTAACCACTATGCTACCAGAGCTCCTTATGTATGTATATATAAAGTTTAAATATACATATTTAAGCTTTTCATTGTGAATGGAGTGAAGATTTACTGAGCAAATCATCAGTTTTACATTCAACAAGTCACATACTTTGCTTAATTACAGTGATTGCAATACCCTCCATGTGCCATCAGTTGACAACTGCATTTATCTCTATTAACTTTAACTGTTGCGTTCCTCCCTGTGTCTCCTGCTAGGTCTGCTAACCTCTGCCTTTTTGTATATTGCCTGTCCTGTCTTTCACGTTATTGTTTTTAGCCTCTAACCTGTGAATAATTTTCCTTCCTTCCTACCCCCTGTAATCAATCATAGATTCTTTCTCTGATTAAAAGAACATTTTAACTGTTTGCAACATTAGTTTCAATAATATTTGCCCTTTGGTGAGTAATTCCACTCAGCATAATGTTCTCCAGGTTCATCCATGTTGTGAGGTGTTTCACATTGTGCAGTATTCCATCGTGTGTATGTACCAAAGTTTGTTTAACCAGGCTGTCTCCTGAATGTCTATCGTTTTCTGCAGACCTTGTAATTAAGGATCTTGTTGTCTTACCCATTCTGCTCTCACTGTTGCTTGACTGATGCATTTAATCCATTTATATTCAGCATAATTATACGAAGGTATGAATTGATTGCTATCGGTTTGCTGTGTTTTTGTGTGTGTGTACTTCTTAGTTCAACATTTCCTGCATTAATTTCATTTTACTTGTGGGTTTTCTTTGCATTTTCAATTCTGTTGTGTTGTTGTTGTTATTAAGTACCGTGGAGTTGGTTCCGATTCATAGTGACCCTGCACAGGGTTTCTTAGGCTGTAAATGTTTACAGGAGCAGAAAGCCTCATCTTTCTCCTGCGGAATGGCTGGTAGTTTCGAACTGCTGACGTTGAGGTTAGCAGCCCAATTCATAACCACTGTTGTGTTAATGTTTATTAAATCTTTCTGATTTCCCCCTTTAAAAATTTTGATGTGCAGGTGTATTAATTTTCAGGGTAAATAATAGGTTACCCTGTAATTTATTAAATTCTTTGCCTAATTTTTTTTTTTTTCTCTTGTGTGTGGTTTTTTTTTTTTTTAACTGTTTATTATGAATTGAGTTCAGTTTTACAGACAACATCATCAGATTTACATTTAACAAATTATACATTTTGTTTCATTTCAATGATTGCAATCTCCTCTGTGCAACAACAGTTATCCTATTTCCTCCCTGTGGTTCCCCATTAACATCTTATATCACAAATGAACAAAGCAAAAAAGTGTTTGATGTACACATACAAAATAAAATATATATAAGAATTCAGCCTCTTCAAAGCCTTAAAGCAGTTGGGTCTTTGGAAATTTTATGCTTTGAAAGTGAAGTTATACTTACAATTAAGCTATTTTACCTATGTGTCCCAGAGAATAAAATTTCACCATTAAGATAATTAAAAACAAAACAAATATATACATATATTACATTTAAATGTCCAAAGGGCCCATTCTGCAAGTCACCCTCCTACCTGCAGGTACACAGCCATACTCAGTCCGTGGGCCTATTGCCGAAGCTGCTCTGGCTCTCCATGCCACCGCCTTTGCCACTATCTCTGCTGTTGCTGGTTTTCTAGGTAGGGCTATCACACTCCACTCATGTTCTTTCTTTTTGATAGTCCTGGGATAATTTTTTCTTGATAGGAAAGATTAAATATTCCCTGTTTTTAGTTACAGATCTTCTACAACCAGAGTTGTGACAATCACAATTAATCCTGCTAACTCACAGTTGAATCATAAAATCCTATCATCATCATCTTCCATCCGCTTTTACCAGATCCAGCTGGAAAAGAGGAAGCCTCATTCTGAAACTAAGCCCACTCATGAAAGCTTGTAATCCAGTCACTTCATGCCTTTATAGCACCCCCATTTTTGATAGCCAAAATGTCTAATTTGCCTGTCTTTATTTTTTTGCTTATTTTAAACAACCTATTTTATCTTGAAATCTACTTGACTTCCTTGCCCTTTATAAGTTCTGTATCTACACTATTCCCTCTTGTTACCTTGTAGTTGACTTCATTATAAATTGATGTCTCTCATTCCCTATTTTTAGTCTTGTAGGTTTGTTTTACTCTGATTACTTCTACATCTGGATTGAGTTCTGGGTGGTGTTGTCACGTGTGTTAATCTCAGGTTTTTGTTTACAATTGTTGCTTCTCAGTTCAAAGAGCACCTTTTAGAACTTTTTGTAAAGTTGGCCTGTTCATTACAAAATCCTTTCATTTTTGTTGATCAGGAAACATCCTAATTTTACCATTGTGTTTGACAGACAGCTTTGTTGTGTATATATATGATTGTTGGTTGGCCATTTTTTTCTTTCAGAGTTTTGTATATGCCCTAGCCCATTGCCTTCTTGCTGTATGGTTTCTGCTGAGAAATCAGAGGTTAGTCTTACTGGTTCTCCTTTGTAGGTAATTTTTTTTTTTCCTGAGCTGCTCTTAGGATTCATTCCTTATCTTGGTTTTGGATTTGATTGACATACTTTGGTGATTTTCTTTTGGGATCAGTCCTGTTTGGGGTTTGTTCAGCCTTGTGTATGCTTGTCTTTTCTTCTTTTATAATGCTAGGGAATTTTTCTTCCAACAACTTCTGAACAGAGTTCTCTGTACTTTTTATTGCCTTCTTCTGTTCTGGAATTCTGATCCTTCATAAGCTCTTCTCCTTCACGGTGTCCACAT